CTATAAAATTGGTATACTAGTACTTCTGTACTTCAAGTGAGTGTTATGAGATAAAACGAGGACATCAAAAATTATGATACTAATATTGAAGTCACCCTCATAGGCAAGACATATGCATTATCTATTCAGTATAAGCTGGGTAAAAATATATCATGTAAGCCATGTGAAGATTGCCACAACAAACTGCATTATCTAATGTAACACACTTGAATGCAGAAGCCCAAACACAGGTATGGTAATTGAAGTATGACAATAGAAGCACTGACTTAAATTGACAATATTTTGCTTTGTCTTTAAGTAATGATTTAGCCGTCTTGTTATGCAATAGACATTAGGTATATTCTCCCCAGATAACAAAAAAAAAAAAAAAACCCACACAACAACTTACTCTTTCAATTAAAGGAAAAGTTAGTTGACAAGTTAAATTTAAAACTGGGTCCGTTAAAAAGTTAGCATCTGTGTCAATTTTTCCTTTGTCCCAAATGATCTTTTAATAACATGGTAACGAAGACTCTTAAACCTTTTCATATGTTTAAACTAATTGAAATCTTGTGCACAGGTTATATATAAAGAAATTAGGTTGCAATTAAGCATAGTTATTAATGATTCTTAAATCTAATTGTTGTGACTATTATAGACCACAGACAAGGTCAACTCTACAACTCAGGAAACTTTAGCATTAAAAAAAATACCACTTGAATTCTATGCATAAAAACCACTTTGATGCAGCTCTGATCATACTAAACATGCTCACCCATTTTAAAAAAAAAGTTTCCAAAAATTAATAAATAAAATACATACCCTCCCTCTGTAAAACATTAAATTTAATTTAGTAAATGCAGTAAAAACACATTAAAAGCAAAAAGAGTAACTCAACACAATTTTTAAAGAAACACTCTGCAAACATGCTCATAAGTATATCCAAAATGCAAAAGTCATTTCAGCAATTACTGTAGAATCCTTAAACTAACTGCATAAATGTTAGATATGTTTTAGCTTCTGCATATCAGCAGCAAGGTTCTGATCACTGTATTTCAGATTTCTAGTCAAGATCACTTCCCTTTCACCTGTATGCATTAGAGATAAAATGGCCGGTGTCATCTAAAAAAGAAATTCAAAGTAAGAGAAGACATGTCCCTCCTAGTATGTCTACAGGAATAAGTGGAGAACAGAAAGAAGAAAGAAAAATCATTATCCTCTCTGAAACAAAACATACCGAGACAGTGAATCGGAGGAATATCTTTGCAGCAGTGCAGGGACACAAGGCCATGAGATGCTTGGTTCTTACCACTACATTTGAGACAGTAAGTCACAGAAAACTGTAAGACTGTCCATGCAAAATACACTTCCACTCTTCTCTTGCCTAAACAGAGACTCCACTCCAAGCAGACTGCTCCACTGGATCTCTGCTTGTAAAACCTTTGATGTCTCACAGGGCACACCTGCATTACTACTTCAGTTCAGATAAGGAGGGCACTTTTGCAACAGAACTTCCTATCATGCTAGTCAATGAACTTTCGTTTGCTGCATGAAGCAGTCCGGGAGTGCCCAAACCTGGTTCCTTTCAGACTAAAGTAAAAACCACAAGATGCACTCCAGGAGCACCACCACTACCAAAGGGGCACAGGAGCAGACAGGAGCCAGTCCAAAGTAATATCCACTTCACTTTGCAACTGCACTGAATGTAGGCAAGTATTAGGTCCTCATCACCAATTATGTTATTCTCTGTATCTGGTACCACTGGACTGAATTACTTGCTCAGGCAGGGCCAGCCACTGTGATTCAAGGTCTCCTTTGACCTGTTAGGTGAGACTTGACTGCACCAGAGGTTCACTGGGCTTTTGGGGCTTTGCTTTCTCTTGGTTTCTGTGTCTTCTGTTACCTAAAGTTCTCACTTCCAGCCTGTCATCTCTGCGTGTTTGACCATACACATACAACATACTCTCTCATTACCAGGAACTCTCACCACACTAAAAGTTCTTCTCCTAAAGACTACTTAAAGTCTAAGTATGATCATCCTTAATTAAATAAACTTAATTCTGGCATTTCTTAACTTTGAGTGCTGGCTGATTTCAAAACAGTAATACTTTAATGGGCTGATCATCTAAGCACACAGAAAAACAGGTCATTGAACCCAACTGTAGCATCACATTGACTCTTCAGTGCTCAACAGCAGGGTTAAAAGTATATATAGAGCCCTCAGCCCTCTGTTACTGACATGGACACATCACTAAAGATAATAAAGCAAACACCTCTCAATGTACTTCACAGCCATTAAGAATTGTAAAACTGCCCTACAAGATCCTGTCTTCCCCAGCTTCTATCAGTCTTAACTCAGAGATCCTCATCCCAGCTTTTAGTACTTCCCTCTCACTCTCACACTCAAGTTCATTTAACTGGCCTTTGTAATGGCTGTCTCATTAGACAGCACCTCAAAACCATTCCTCACCCCAGTACTGTCAAGTCATCCTCATACTCCTTGACCGGGCTGTGAACTGCAGAAAGATTTTTTTGCTGTTGTTCTTTTCTCTGTATCACAAACCTTCCTGACTGCTGAAGGGAATATTTTTAAAAGGTCCTGGGCTCTAACTACATGACCAAGTAATTTGGCATAAAAGAACCACACCAGCCAACTGAGGCAGCTGGTGCCCAGGTCCCCACATTTCCAGCAGGCAGGGTTTACAAGTTTTATTTCAAGTAAAATGCAGTCTGGAGCCTCAGACTGAACATTGCACCACACACACGGTTCCGGGCTGTCCAAAGGACCAGTCGCTGGGGCTGGTGTTCACTCGATGTCCATCTGGAGGAGAGATCCTACACTCAGCTTCATCCAGGTGTAACTTGATTCATACCTACCAAAATCCCCCCATGAATTGAGCCAATGAGTGTCAAGAGGGGATGATCAGAGAATTTACTCTAAAACTGTAATGACAGAATAGCTTGCAGAAGCAGGGCAACTTTACCTAATCCCACAATGCTTCCTGGTACAAAGAGAGAATATTTAGCTGTCAAAACAAGAAGCGTCTACTGAGTATATTTCAACTTTCAGAATTTAGATTAAGGTTGGATTCTTTGTATTGTCACCGAGAAAAAGTAAGCACTTAACACACTGGATTCCCTTGCTCCAAAGTAAGGTCAGCATAGAAGTTGTCATTACATGAAATTCTATAATCACTGAATTAATGGCTTATATATTCTTGATATTGGAAAACACCACTGCACTTTCCCTTTTGTTTTCAGAAACAAGCCAAACAAACGTTTTCAACCAGCAACAACCAGAATAAGTCAGACATAGAAAATGGACAATATCAGATCTATTTTTTTAAAAAAAAATCCCACTTAAACCTACAGTTACCTACAGCAAGAAGGAAAAGAAAAAAAAATACACACTCAAATTTAAATAAAATAAGGAAAAATACATGTCATGAAATGTCTGTGCTTAGAAAGTAATTACTAACAGAACTGACATCAAAATGTCAACTCAGTAACCTCTTCTTCAATTCATAGGTACTAAAATAGTATGAGGAGAAAAATCTTTATATTAGATTTTAAAATTTCAGATATTCAGTAAGACACTGAATTTTATTGTATATTGTCCTTTTCTGGACCCCTATGGTTAATATATGCATATCCAGTGCTCAAATCCAGGGTGTAATAAGAATGAGCAATGTTACATGAAGGAATTCATGTCATGTAAAAAAAGTTATTTGGATCATCCTAACCATTTTCTAATACATTTGAAAGAAAATTATATGAAATAATCAAAAAAGGAAATCACATACCCAAACCAAGTAAACAACAAGAAGATGAGAAGAAAAAAATAATTTAAAATTTTAAATAGTTCCTGTCTTATAAAATTTTATTTGTTATAAGTATATATAGCAAAACAGGAAGCAGGCCTTACACTTCACATAGTTTAGCCCATTTGTATCTACCGTACCCATAATGCATCCTGAAACACAATATATGCAGGAATAATACCAGAATAATAAACTTTTCTCCCATTCTCTTGGCTTCTTTGACATTTAATGTCAATCTGCAGTAACAAAGCTAATAATGATCTTTGTCTTCACACACTGCTATTGAAACAAAGCATTTCTTTGTAAATTAAAGGGTAATTTTGTTCCCACTATTCCAGTCTAAATCTTTCTGGGCTAGAATCACAGAAGCTCATGGCATAAATCACCCTATAATCCAGATCACCTTCTTTCTGCAAGAGAGATGATGTTCTTTTGGCAATAATCATGTGTGCAACCATAACCCAAAGCATCAAGCATGGAAGATTTCATCCAAAGTTCATTACATGATACAAATGCCAGATATTTCTAGAGGTTTCCCATTCAAAGCTTAACATACAGCAGCAACCTTACCAAATTTGTAAATCATGTGGTGACACATTATAAAGTGACATCTCAAGAATTTACAGGAATTCAAATGTGACAGAAAAATCATACGTTAGAGTGGCTTATAACTAGGAAGATATTCTTTAATTATATTGCTTCCAAGTCTGAAAAGTAATAAGGTGTATGCTGAGCTTTATGCAAGTATTATGTTGATTTTATCGGGACAACTTGCATTTGTAATACAAGCTGAGCCACAGTGAATGATTTCAGCATCTAGGAAGTTTCACACAAAGGATCACATCTGCAAGAGCTTCCAGGCAACCTTCTACTGTGTACCTCTACTAATACCTCTTCCAGCTGCCTCAACAACCTACTTAGTCTGATTCATGGGTGACAGCAGCTGCAAGAGCAAGGTTAAGTGGGAATTACAGAGTCCAACTTGCTTTTTACTGTCAGTTACCCCTATAAAGAGGGGCAGTGCTGAGGGTTAAGTAGTAACAAGACCAAGGCCTTACTGGCCATTAATTCCATATGGTCAGATCAGGTCGCTGCAGACCAGAAGATAAATCAAGACTGTTCATATGTGTAACCACGTAATGCCACTGCACACAGGGTACGATACGTCACAAGAACTCTCCATTAAAAGGCAGAACTTACCCCTCTTCTGAACCCAGCCTTCCTTCACAATGGTAACATCGCTCATGATGGCTCCACTCTGAACCCCCAACTCAAAAGAGTATTTCTTTGAGTTATCAGCTTGCCTGTTTGGCTTCCCTTCTGCAGCTCTTCCCAGTTTCTACTGATGAGTCAGCCTGGAACAAAATATTAGAGAAAGAATTTAAGCCTTTTCTGTTTTTCTCACTTGACAGCCAACAAAAAAGTCTTTGTTGATATCTTCCACTGACTGAGCTCCTATTAAAAATCTGCCTTTTTTTCTTCAATTAACCATATAACAGAAGCATGTTTCTTGTCTTACAGCACATTTTCCACGAATACTGCAGTACTTAAAAGAAGCAGAAAGTGTTAAATTTTCAGTCATATGGCACTTTTATAAAATGCACACAAAAGAATCCTCTCATACTCATGCCCGGGATGCTGTTAAATTAGACGGTGCTGGTACTGCTGTGCTCACACTAATGTTAAATGTAATGCTGTGAACTGCTTCACAGGTCCAACACTAAACCAACAGGAGCTTTAACCATTCCCACATTTGTCAGAACCCATACAATGGACAAGTGCTTCCTCTATTATGGCTACATTGATCATATTAAGAGTGCAAGAAAATGGAAGGAAAGGTTCTGTAAAGGAGCTTAAAACCAACGCCTTAAGTATCATGGGTATGGTTATCCTCATAACTGTTAAAATCGGTAGTAACCACTTTAACAGCCATGCAACTAGGTTTTTTTTGATGTTTAATTTAAAATAAAATAAAATAAAATAAAAAAACAAACAAACACAGAAAAGGCTACAGAAATATAAGTCTTCCTACTCCCACTATAATTTCATGAAAACTTAACTTAGAAAGCTCTTAAAAAACAGCATCATCTGCAAGTATGCAAGCAGAAAAACAACTTCTTCAGAGTACAACTTAACCAAAAAAGCCAATGTTTAGGTCATGAAAATAACTGTCCCAAAGCTTTAAGCCAGGCAATGAGAAGTGTGCTCTTTTCCCTACAAAGCTCAGCTTGCAGGGGACATAAGGGAAGTCAGCACTGGAACAGGATATGCCACTCTCAGAGGCCAGAGCCCTCACTCCTGGATACCTCACTCCCAGAGTACCTAACAGCTGCGAAGAGACAAACACCACTACAATCAAGTGGGCAGAGAAGCCAGAGTGCAGATGCTTCCTTTTGCCAGTAGGCTGCCTTTCCCCTCCATCCTTCAAAATAAAGAGAAGCATTCAAATAAGCTCACCTAGAAAAGAGTGGAAAGGCAAGAAAAAAAGACTTCTCTGATGGCAGAGGAACACCTTTCTATGGCTGTACACACAGAAGCCCGTGTGTACACAGTGCTAGCAAAAACACATACCCACACACTAGTCTAGTGCCATCAAATCCAATACACACGTATCCATTCAGGAGACTGACCAACAAAGACCAATAAACAAAGACTGTGCTAGAAGCAATCTGTGCAATGAATGAATGGAGAAAGGGTGGAGAAATAAGCCATTTTAATCCAACCAAGTACAGGCTAAAATCTGAACCATTATACATATGCAGATTATTTCTTATTTATATTTTGAAAAATGTGTATTAGCACCACACAGCAGCTAGATGGAAGGCTACTTCTGTCTTGACACTGTTGTGCAAAATAGAACTTGGTATTGAGTACTTTTTTCAAGTGGCATGCACCAAAAAACGCACTACAACCCGATTTTACAGAAGACTGAAGTGTGTCCATTTTACAGTTTTGCTTTCACTGAGCTGTTTTTTCAAAAACACGACACATTTCAGCTGCACAGAAGTAAAAACCACAACGCTGAATTCATTACTACCACAAAATTTACGTAATATTGAACATCATGCCTAAGACATCTCCACAGCACTGGCAGATATGCCAGTAAGGCCTATGCAGGTGATGCACAGCCTTTTGCATTGGCATCACACCCTTTCGTGTCTAAAAAGGACATGGACACTTGTGTTTATGCAGCTCCACTCATCTTCAAGACTTACATATTGTATAAGGTTCCATAAGAGTTAAAAGAAAATGTTATACACAAAGTTTTGGAAGGACTTGAGACTGCAACATTACTGTTAATTGATCTCAACAGCTTTATCTGTTTAGACTCCGTATTATTTAAGTTACTAGGGCAGAAGTAACCAGAACATGCATTTCCACATCCTCCACCTTACCAGCATGAGTGTTATTTTCTGGGTCATACACTACCAGAAGTTGTTTGCACGCTTCAAACTAGAGATAAGCAAGTTCACCAGCTGCGTGTGGAGAGACACACGTGCCTGAACGCAGGCTCCAGTTCTGCCCTCCTGGATCACCACAGCACAGTGTCAGCTCATATTACAAACACAAATCTTTACAAAGCAAGAGGTGAATGTCCAACAACTGTGACCTAAAAGCAGCTGTTCTGTGAAGGAAGTGTAAGCACATTAGTATCTAAATACCTGACTTAGGTTCAATTTTCCTACAAGAATTTCACTGCGTTCTTTAAGAAGTGGTCAGAGGTGACTTTTATTCAACTATAAAGGCATAAGACACAGGGCTTAGCTTGGGCTGGCAGATGCTGCAATATGCTTTACCCTTTTGGCAAATTGAATGTACTTTCCTATTTTGGTGTATGCTTATAAGCAGTACAATAATTTATTTTTAGTGGTAGAGACTAAGCTATAAGAAATTAACTTCTGTACTAAGTAGCAATAATCTTGTCTGCCCACATACTGATCATTAAGTCCATCATCTCAGTAGACATGCAGTTTTAATGAAAGAATTTATGCTTAAGGCTCCCTATTTATCTACTGATTACAATTAAGTTAGTATTACTCAATCAAAATCTGATCTATGACAGATTTTCATGTCAGCCAGTGTCCAAAGAAGCTCAAGCATATGTCTCTGGGATTGCATCCTAACATTGCACGTACTGAATTTTGATAAATACCACGAAATACAAAAATCAGATAAATAGGGTCACAAAACTAACTGAATTACCTCCTGTTTAGCTTTGCAGTATTACCAGGAACAACTTAAGTAAAATTATCAACAGCTGTATGGTTACATTGGTTGCTCCCTTACTGGGTAATTAAAAGTCAAGCCAAATTACATAGGAAGCTGAAGGAGATTAATCAAAGCATTAAAAGACTAACGAAAATGAAGGTTATACGTTCACACTACACCTTCAAGAAGCCATTTGAAAGCATTCGTAGTATTATCCCTCATTAAATTCCTTTGGGCTTTCTAAAAGCTTTTTTCCTTTACTCTGAAAGTCACTCAGCAAAGCTCTAAGAGAGCAGACTTTTGAGAATTACTTATCATGACAAAAACTGACCTTAATGAAAAATAATCACACAGAAACCTTTTTCCCTGAAGATGCAATAAAGGATTGTCCCTAGACACAAAAGAGTTGCCTGAAACACATAGAACAAGAACTCTTCACATGAAAACAGCATTTAATCTTTGGTTCAATTTTTTGAAGCAAAGTTACGGAAATGTTTATTCTGCACAGCTGGCATATAACTTAAATACTTGGCAATCAGCTCTGCTCTCCCAATGTGCTTCAAGTTTCAGCAGCTGGTATATTGTAATTTTTACAGTTTCCCTTATTGCTATAAGATGAACCCATAGAAACAGTGGAAAAAATGTAAGAACTGAAGGTGAAGATATTTTGCATTCCAGCTGCTTCCTACAGGGAAGAACTTGACTTGGTTTTATACAAATTCCACCAACTGGAGAACAGGTTGGATTGCTTTTTTTTCCTCCATGTTATCAAACAGAACTTGGTAGATACTTTCCCAACAGTACATTGTGTGTCTTCTGCAGACAGTATCATATAGTCACATATACGCACAACACATACAGTCTATTGTCCGCATGCTTTATGGTGCTGGTGTAAAAATTTACTCCATGGCAGTCACTTATGTGACCAAAACACCTGCTTTTTTTTTTTTTTTTTTGATCTGGTAAAAAATAGTAAAACTTTTCCTTTCTTTTTTGGAAAGCTATGAAGCCACTTATAGAGTGTTAGATGAAACAATTCAGCACACTTCTAAAGAGCTAGTATTAAACTCCTAAGTTCCTAGCTGTAGAGGTTGCAAAGGCACCTTTCTGCACAAAGATTAAGCATAAACTATCACATGCAGCAGAGTTCCAGATCCCTCTGCCAAAGCTCACAGTTTTCCCAAGCCACAGCAAAAACTAGCCAACATCTCTCAGTTTCCATCTTGAACTCGAAGAAGAGAAATATAAAGAACTAACTTGTTTCACTGTGCTATCATATGGGAAGTATAAAACTCATTAAAATGAGCAACAGACCACTCAGTAGGAAGACACCTTTTCCTCACCTTGTACTTTTAAACTAAAGGAGGCTCTCATGCCCATCACAGCAGTCAGGTACATCCACAGACCCAGTGGATGGGGAAAAGGAAAGAAATCCCTTCCAAGCATAAGGACTGAAAACAGTGGTTCAGGTCTACACTTAACAACCACTATGTGTAAGTGAATAATCAAGATTCATAGATTCAATCAATTCAAGAGACAACACTCTCTTGGAATCTGGGCATCCTCCCATTTCCCCCATGACAAGAGACAGCTGAGTAAAGAAGACAGTGCCCATGAATTCAGTGTAAATTGTATGATTCAGGTCTCTGTTTTAAGAACTTTTGTAAACATAGGCTCCTACTTTCAACAATTCTGGAGCTGAGAAAAAACAGATACGATCTCATTTACCAATTCAAGTTACCAGAGAGAATACCAACAGGATGAGTTTCAGGGCTTCCAGAGACAATCCCTGTAACTTCTTGTAGCATCATCAACCTAGTGACTGATCCAACTTTATTCTTTAATATATAAGGCAACCATCATTCTCACTTTTTACAAGTAACCATTGGTTTTAAAAAATGTTGGGGGAAAACCCAACAAGTGAAACTTTCTCATTCACTTTGCCTGAGATTCTTTGGTTCTCAACTTTTTTTGGTCCTTTTCTCACTGAGATTCTTTGGTCCTTAACGTGACCAGTCAAATCTCATCATCACTGTATCATCTTATTTTTCAGAAAGGTAACTGAAAAAATTTTGTGCATGCACACACAAAACACACATTACCAAAAAAAGCAGCTCTCAGTAATCCTCTGGTGGCTTCCATCACATAC